ATTATAAAACATAATTATTATATTTGTACAATACGTATAAGGCAGCCATCTCCAATGAAACATTCATAACAAGTGTGTGATAATATTTGTAAAACTTGATATCCAATAAACAATCTTATGTTCTTTACAAAATCATCGTATGATTCGAAGGGTACCAGGAGAAAGAGATCAGCTTGGAATTTCTTTCGGTTCCATTTTATCCAGTAATTAGTTGACATGATGGTAAAAATGGCGGGAATTTAGTTACCGAAAAATTGAAAATGTTGCTACATTTCGTAGAGCCATCTGTTGCGAATGTGCTGCCACTGAACAATGCCCTGTTTAATGTAAAGAAGCGTGGACAGATAGCGTTACCGACAAGCTGTGCACGTTTAAAAAAAGCAAAGGACAACAATACGCGATCGAGTGCGGTGAAAAATCGGTGAAATGGTGGAGTTGTGTCGCGGGTATATTTAGAACCAGGTGAGCACTTTATTCGTTAATTAACACAGCGTTTTGTACGTCGTGTGCCAATCGACGATATACAACGCGGTCGAGATGGAACATTTTTTCTCCGTTGATTTTCGTACACCTTAATCGGTGAGAAACATTTTACTGAGTCCACTAGGTGTCTCCGTTCAATTACACTACCAATTTGTATATATTTAAGGATAATAACGTTACGATTATACGTTTAATCGATTGATAATTCGTCGTCGAATCACTTTATACGCAATGCTCGTTACTACGTTCGTTCGTGTATCATAACCTCTTTACACGCCACACATAATATTGTGAATCGTTTTACTAATGGCACGTATCACCAACAGATACGCATAATACACCTACGTACGACACTGTCATTCCTGTGCAATCGACAATGTTAACGTGTAATTTACCCATCGAAAATAATTAAGGAGGATAAACAATCGAAGCCGGGGGGATAGAGTAGAGTGTATCGAAACGATCGTATTGTCAGTCGTTTGTTTCTTAGACCAGTTACAGAGATTATTCTCGCGATACCGTTCAGTTGTTTCATTAACGATGAAATCAATCAAACGTTAACGCGGAACGTGAATTTAGCAACGTAGAATACATTATTAGACACATATGAAATTCGTTATCGTTATATTCGAAATAATAGTGATATGTAGGGTGAGTATCACTCCAGGCATGGTATTTAGTACAATTTCAGGATCGGTAAACAGTGCCATTGTCACATGAAAATTCACGCGTACTCTAGCGTTCGCGATACCTTCTCATTTTCGCGGGAAGATAAGTAGCACGTGGTTCAGTACATCGTGCTTCCACGTAAAAGAAGTGTTTTGTCCATTTTGTAACGCGATACTTTTCGTCGTTTCGTTTCTATCGTTGAACGAAACGAGTGAATAATATCCGTGAGAAATTTATTCACGCGCAGGGGGATTAAATTGTAATTAAATCAGTAGAGATCTCGAAGAAATGGAAATCTGGACAGGTTAAAAATGAAATTGCCGAAAATTCTTTGTTTTTTTTTTCATTCAAAAGTTAGAGTACCCCTCTCTTCGAGAGCCAAAATTCCACGATGGCTTAATGCCCCCCACTCTCCACCATGATCCGGCCTCTATTGATTGCTCTACCCTACCGCACTACTGCCCTACTTTTATGACTTTACTCCACCCCCCACCTTCCCCTTCTCAAGCTCTCTCTCTCTCTCCCTGTTCCCGTGTAGCCTACCTCCAGCGTGTATCGCGGAGTCATAGACACACGGGAATCGTGTGTACCGTTTGTCCGAAGACGTCCTCTCGGGTTGCGCACCACTATGCGGAAGAACGCCTAATTTAACTGTTCTTGGAATTTCAGCGAGCCTCGCGATTCTACGACCGACGACACTGTTACCGGTGGCTTTTCGTTTACGTAGTATCGTTGT